CAGCAGAAGCAGAAGAAGAATGCAGAGGAGACGTGTCTGGTTCTTGTTTGTTTAGGGCTCGTATTCGTCAGTATGGGGGGGCAGACCCTATAACTGGGTATCGCTTACCTTACTCTGTTTGTGTTGAGGGAGAGATAGAACAGATATGTTTTGTGTATAGACAGCAGGATGTAAGTAGAACATTAAATTATTTACGTGATGGTATATTTGATGTTTTTATATCGAAGTCTTATCGAGCTGTAAAAGAAGCAGCAACAGCTTCATATTGTTTATTTACTTTAAATATTCAGTCTCCTCTTTTTATTCTGCCGGAAGATAAAGAGGCAATACCTGGCTATGTGCCCCCCCCAGGGTATAGAATACCCAGGAGACGCAGCCGCAGACATGCTGCTGCTGCTGCTGCTGCTGCTACTACGCTTCCTGCTGCTGTTGCTGCTGCTGCTGCTGCTGCTGCGCCCACACCGCGCACAGCAACAGCAGCAGCAGCAGCAGCAACTGATCCTTCTCGTCTAGAGGTAGAAGTCAGTCATCTAGGGCGCTTCATCGTCTTTGATCTCGGCAACCTGAAGGTGCGCAACGCATACGTAGCAGCAGCAGCAACGCATCCTCCTCATCAGCAGCAGCAGCAGCAGCAGCANACGCATACGTAGCAGCAGCAGCAACGCATCCTCCTCATCAGCAGCAGCAGCAGCAGCAGCAGCAGCAGCAAGAGCAGGATGTGGAAGTTCTTGTATCCTCTCTGTTGCGTCCTCCTTCTTTCGGTGAGAGTACATTTGTCTCGATGCTGAGCGGGAGCGAGTGTCTACGCGCAGCAACAGCAACAGCAGCAGCAGAAACAGCAACAGCAGCAGCAGCAGCAGCAGAAGGAGAGGGGTTTGAGGAGGAGGTGATTTGTTCTGATTTGCTGCTGGAGATGAGGGGCATGCAGATAGGGGCCAGCGACAACACGCAGCAAGCAGCAGCAGGAGGTTCTTTGCTTGAGAGCGTAGAAGCTCACATGCTGCTGCGCAGCGCCCCTTCTTCTCTTTCTATAAAAGCAGAGACAACGGCGTGGCTGCTGCATCTCTCGCGGCAGCAGCTCACCTTGGTCTTAGACGTAATCAACGAAAACATAGGCGGACACGGTTACACTCCAGCAGCAGCAGCAGCAGCAACACCAGCAACAGCAGCAGCAGCAGCAGCAGCAGGAGGAGGAGGAGGAGTAGACAGCAGCGCGGGGGCATGCATAGATGAAGCTGCGCTGCGTCGAGAGCTCGCGGCGCCGCCCCTCTCTGTTGACTGTCTCATAACAATCCCGCAGCTGACGCTGGAGGCTTCGTATGGGGGAGAAGCTCCTCTGGCTCTGCTGTCGCTGCAGTGTATAACAGCAAAAGTTGCTGCTTCTGTATCTAAGCTGCTGTCATGCTATCGCTTTCTTCTTGCTGCTGAAGAATTCAGCATCGATGATCTACGCACACACAGCGCCAACTACTTCAAGCGCGTCGCGCACTGCACTGCGCCTGCAACAGACACCAGCAGCACCAGCACCACCAGCACCAGCAGCAGCAGCAGCAGCAGCAGCAGCAGAGGAGGAGGAGAAGGAGGAGGAGAGGATAGCGATGCGTCTGAAGCTGTCGATACACTGCAGAGACGCAGCAAAGCTCCCGGCGTTCAGTTTGAGTTTGGCTCTTCTCTGCGAGAATCATATTTAGAATTTCAGTTTTCAGGTGTTACAGTGTATCTTCTTCTTGTTGTTTTTATGGATATACTCAGCTACTTTACCTCCTCCTGGGCCTTCAGCTCCATGCGCTCATACCCGAAGCCTCTCCCCACTCTGCTGAAAAACGCAGAGCAGCAGCAGCAGCAACAGCAGCAGCAACAGCAGCAGCAGCGGGAGCAGCAGCAGGAAGGTGAAGGGGCTCGAGGCGGTGCACTGTCTCTGCTGCTCTCGGGGGATGCGCTGAGGGATCGGCCTTTTCGTGTTTCTGTAGAAATACAGCGGGGGTGTTTTGTGGTGTATTCATCGCTGCAGTCTGCTGCTGCTCCAGTTATTGTGTGGTCGAGTGACTTTCTTGTTCGTCTCTGCATGCGGGGAGATGAAATTATATTTGAACGCGTAGAGGTATTAGGCAGCAAAATATATCGCCTCAATGCAGCCCCGCCGCTGCAGCTGCATGCAGCAGCAGCAAGCAGCAGACACTGCAGCAGCAGAAACGCATGCAGTATGGAAAGCCCAGCAGCACATGCTGCAGCATTTGCTGCTGCAGCAGAAGAACGTAGAAGAGATAAAGAGGCAATAGACACTGCGGCAAGGACAGTACGCTGGGGAACAGCAGACTACGCCAGAACCAGCAGCAGCAGCAGCAGCAGCAGCAACAGATACGGCTGCAGCTTCGAGTTCCCTGCATCACCCCGCAGCATCAGGCAGCAGTGGGCAGGGAGAGCTGCGGACGTCGACTGGCAGCAGCAGGAGCAGCAGAGGCCTCAGCAGTTGATCCGGGACTGGACGTGCATGCAGCAGCAGCAGCAGCAACAGCAGCAGCAGCAGCAGCAGCTTGTATCAGGAAGAGGACCTCCGCCTGATCGCCTAGCCCCCCGCACAGACCCCACCAGCGCCGTGCTGCTCTGCGAGCACTTTCATATTGAGGGGCGCGGCGTGTACCGCTCAACAACAGCAGCAGCTGAAAGCTCAAGCGAGCAGCAACAGCAGCAGCAGCAGCAGCAGCAGCAGCAGGGGGGCGATGCAGACGCTGCTAGTGCAGCGTCACAGAGCCACGGCAGCAGCAGAGTCCCAGCAGCAGTTCATCGCATGCAGGAGGCCTTCTCTGCTGCTGCAGCAAAACTACCCCCCAGCTCTATCTCAACGCCGGGGGGGAGACGGGCCCCGCCTCTGTCAAGCGGGAAGCATCAGCATCAGCAGCGGCACCATCACCACGAGCTGCGGCAGGAGCAGCAGCAACTGCAGCAGCAGCAGCAGCAGCAGCAGCAGGAGCAGGAGCAGCGCCACCACCATATATCAGGACAGGATGAACTGCAGCAGCAACGAGCAGCAGCAGCAGCAGCAGCAGCAGCAGGCGAACGGGGGGGAGGGGCAGCAAAGGCCCAGCCTCGTGTATCGACTTTCATCGATTTGTCCTTTGATATACCACGTATGCTAATGGACTCTGTGCTGCTGTTGCTGTTGCTGCTGCTGCTGTTGCTGCTGCTCCTGCTGCTGCTGCTACAGTTGCTGCTGTTGCGAGTATTGCTGCCACTGCTGCGGTCTCCAGTGTTGCAGCGGTCGCTCTGATTGTGTTGTGTCTGCGAGTGTTTCCGCAGCTGTTGCTGCTTTTTTTGCAGTGTTTCTGCTGCTGCTGCAGCTGCTGCTGTTATTATTTTTTTCATGTTTTGTTTGTTTGTGTTGTTGTTTTTTCTGTCTTCAGTTTTCTTCCTTAGAGTCTCTAGCCGGGATATGGCGCTGCTGCTGGCTGCTGCTCAAGGCCTCCATTCGGACGGGCCCAGCGTCTGTC